GTTTTCAAAATCACGTAGGATATTATTCATGTCCTACTTGTTTCTTTTTCTGATTTATCCCTCACTTCTTTTTTTACATTTTAGTTTTTTTAATTATCTTTTTTTTTTTTATTATCACTTAAATATATATATATTCGGACGTATAGCTTGAGTGAAAATGCAATCCAATGAACTGATTTATGGGTTGCTGATTAAAAAATAAACGCCTTCCTGATCACACTGTTCTGATAGTGACCTTCATTTGTTCTCAAGTACATCTCCATTCCTCTGGAATGCCCTGCTGGTCCTAGCAGACCTCCCTCTAGTCTTCACTAATGTGAATATTGTGCACAGTACTCACCCTCCGGTGCTTTAATAGATCACTTCTTCATCTGGGAATACAGTAGAGCAATCAAGTAATTATATCGCTAAGAAGAATTTGTGAAAGATTATCCCCTTTCGGAGTAATCTCTTGCTTTAAGCCAGTCTGTTCTGTCTCTTTTCACTGTTAGTCTCCTGTCCTGTCACCTCTTCACTCTAATTCTCCTGACGGCACTCCCTTTTATATGTTAGCTAGACAGGTGTCACACCTTCTGACACGTACCTATTCTTCTTGTATTTCATTATACTTTCCTCTAGTTTTTAATCTTAATTAAGTTAAGCCTTTCTCGCCTCCTCTCCTATCACTTGCATTTTTGTAATTTATTTTCTGTCAAACATAAAATAAAAATATCATAAAAGTAATATAATTTCAATTTACAAAGTAAATAATTTATACTTTTTGGTGTCTTTGTAAATCGTGTGTAATGTAACACATTTAAGAAGCCTGAAAACGGATTTCTGGATCTGTTTATGAACAATGAGCAGAACAGAAAATTAGCCCTAAATGCTAAATTAAAGCTTGAATACACCCAGTCGTGACACCGCATGAAACAAATCATACCCTAGATTGCGATATAATCAAATCAAAGGTACATAGATCCGATGTACGTCCGCAGTGTTCTTTATTGAACATTATTACGGGTACTGCTAAGAAAGAAAAATACAAATGCAGTCGTATAGTAATATATTAAGTATGTTGACATTATATATTAAAAGGCTAAGTTTCACAGATAATTGAAAAAAATAATTTAAAAAACCTACAAAATTCTGGAGAAAATTTTGTAAAAGAACTTGGAGTGAAATGGTTAATATTAGAGGAGTATATTTCATAGAGCAGTGGTAACTTGTAAACTTTAGAGTTCTACATGTGGCACCAAAAAAGAGATGATTGAAGAAAAAAAGAGACGAATGACAAAAAAAAAAAGACAGCCACTAAATGTTCCGTGAGCCAAATAGCAGGAAAATGTGCCTATCAGTGTACTGCAAAATATTTATATAATATTTTTATATTATTATAATTATATTATTATTGGTCCATTTTCATGCCCTCTTTTGTTGCTCCAAATTGTTTTCCAGAATATTTTTCATTGCCGAAATTCGGACGAGCCATCAAATGAACAAGTGTTGGAGGTCCCGAACTAATGTCATTTAAAAAAAAAAATTTAGTCTAAATTATTTTTCTAAATTGTGCATCAGACATTTTTTTTTTTTAGTTATAGATTTATTTTTTCCTAAATTGTGCATCAGAGTATCATTAAGTTATATAAAATGCAGTTGGTTAGAAATAGAAATTTGTTTTGTGATGAAAAAAATTAAATAAATAAAGATTGTCACCAATTTTTTTTAAAAAAATTAGAAAGAAGTAATAATAAATCCATGAAAAGATAAAGCACATTGATTATTCGCCAGGTCATACGGAATAAAAACTGGATGAAAAGAAGGGACTGTTTGGAACAGTAAAATATATAAACCAAGCCTGAAAATAGGAAATACATAAAAAATAGAGGTTAAACGTTTTTGAAGGCTTACTATTTTGTACTTTGTTCCTTTGGATTGTTCAGCTCTGAATGAGAGAGAGGAAATACCCACAACATCTATAGCTCCACGCCCTACTGACATTTGTGACGAATATTCCAATTATCTTATCACAGTGTCGGTGTGCATACATTATTTAGAAGGAATTACACAAGAGAGTAAACGAAGGAAAGAATAAAAAACCTTAAAGGAAATCTTCAAAGATTTCAGTTATTTCCTGTAAACTGACAGAAATTAAATACATTTAAGTTAAAAATGGTTAACTTTGAAAAACACAGCCACATTGGAGATTGTATTTATTTTTTAGTTTGCTCATTTTGGGATAGAGAGAGAGATAGAGAGAGAGAAAGATTGAAAGAATGATAAATAGATGATAGATAGATAGATAGATAGATAGATAGAATTTTCTACATATATATATATATATATATATACATAGATAGATAGATATAAATAGGTCGAAAGAAAGAATATTAGACATATAGTTAAATAGACAGACAGACAGATAGATAGATAGACAGACAGACAGATAGACAGACAGACAGATAGGCAGATAGATAGATAGGCAGATAGATAGACAGATAGATAGATAGACAGACAGATAGATAGGCAGATAGATAGACAGATAGATAGACAGATAGATAGATAGACAGACAGATAGATAGGCAGATAGATAGACAGACAGATAGATAGACAGATAGACAGACAGACAGATAGATAGACAGACAGACAGACAGATAGATAGACAGATAGATAGACAGATAGACAGACAGATAGACATATAGACAGATGATAGATAGATAGATAGATAGACAGATAGATAGACAGACAGATAGATAGATAGACAGATGATAGATAGATAGATAGATAGATAGATAGACAGATAGATAGACAGATAGGTAGATGATAGATAGATAGATAGATAGATAGATAGATAGATAGATAGATAGATAGACAGATAGATAGATAAATAGACAGATAGACAGATAGATAGATGATAGATAGGATCAAACCTGTGTGATTGAAAGATCTAAATGTATCCACAATAAATCAGTGGGTAAGCAGCAGATGAACAGAGGAGAACAAAACAGAGAAGCCCAGGTATTGAGAATCAGTACAAGAAAAGAAAGGATAATAACTATAAATAAAAGCATGTGGCAAGGAGGGGGAGTATAATAAGATCCAACTAGCACAAGGAAAGGTAAAAA